CTCTCCACATTCCCACCACTCTCCACAGCAGCCTCATCTCTTCCTTCCCTCCCTCCCATTTTCAGAGTTCACAAAGCTACTCTCACATTCTCTGGAAGAGAAAAATTCTAACTATCTTGGTGATTTAAAAAAAAAATCATCATCCTTCTTCCTTTCTGGCCATCTCTCAGAAGCCTGGAAGGTTTCCAGAACTATAGCCAGTAGCTCTGAGGGTTCTGTCCCCACTCTTTCCTGTGAGAAGGTTGTACCTAGTCATGGTATGGTTCTGCAGGGTCTGCCTGTCCTGTCCTGACTGCTCCTACTCTGGCTTTGCTATCTAGATCCGCTGGGCTGGCTACCTTCTTGCTGTTTCACCTCCTGGAAGTGGCTGCAGGTATATGAGATAACAATGCTCTTGGACTCGCGCTGGGAGATCTTCTTACTGTGTTGTAGGGAGTTGGGCTGAGGAGAGAAGATGGGCAGGACAAGAAGTAGGTGTGGGCTGAACAGGAAGTGGTACAGGCTGAGACAGGATATAAGTCATGGGGTGAAGAATGGAAAGTGGGAGAGTGATGAAGAGGAAGAGTTGGGAGAGGGTTGTCTGACTTGAATTTAGAGGGGTGTTTTCTTGCTCTTGGACCTTTGCCCCATGTCTCCTTATTGCCCCAAGGTCCTTCCCTTAAGCCTCCTAGTTGTTTTATTGCTCTCTTTGAACTTTCCCCTTCTCCTTTCCTGCTCTCCAGAAATATGTCTTCCTCAAGACAGTGAGAATCCTCCAAGGTGAACTCAGAGCTTTGACAGGTCAGAAAGGCCCAGTCTCCCAGCTAGTGGTAGCCTTGGAGAACCTGGAAGACCCACAGCACATCACATCTGCCATCTCCTAGGTCCCAACATTTGGTGCTGGTCAGGGGAGGACTCAGGAGGTTGAGATGCTCTAGTTAGAGAAAGGAGGTCTAAAAAGCCTCCTACAGGTGCTCTGCCACCTCTCCTCCTCCCTCCATATTGAATTGCAGTGGTGCATGTGGCAGGGTAGGGGGCATTTCCTCCACACCATGCCCCATGACCACCCCCATTGTTCACTCTGCTTTCATCAACCTCAAGCCCTCTAAGGTGACAGAGTCTTTGGAAGTCTCCATGTAGGCATAGATCACCTCACTTCTCCCCACACATTTCTCGCATGCCCCTCCCTGATCACGACCCATTTCTCACTTGCTACCAAGCAACTTTCAGGTCGATTTCCTTTTCCCAATGTCCACACAGATCTCAGTTCTCTGTTTTCCAATCTGATAACGCTGTCTTCAGAATATCAAAACTTTGGTTAACAAACTGAAAATGCTGGATGTTGTAGTTGCCTCAATTATAAGGAGTTGTCTTCACCTCAGTGGGTATAGTAGCTAGACTTGGGTTTTCCTGGTGGGAAGAGCTGAGTGGCAGGCATGTGTTGGGCGTCAGCCGGGCCTTTTCATGGCCGAGGCAGATGACTCCAACCAGAGGCAGGCCATACCACAAAAGTTCTACCCAACACACGTCCTGAGCTCCACATACCTTCCTCACCTGTTTTACTGCTGGGGCTGTCAGCAGGCTACCCTTTGCTCCTGTCCTAGGCCTTCTAGATAAATAGGGCCATGGGAGGGATGCTGATGGGGATCATCTTTACACACACCTATGGCAAGATCCAGGGTTCTTAGAGGAGATGCATTTAGTTCTCAAGGCAAAGCATCTGCCATTAGAGTTTGGCCTAGGAGAAAAGGGAAGTCTCAGCACGAACTCCTGGAAAGCCTTAGTATGGGCCCAAGGGTTGTCAAGCTGATGAGGCTGAAAGCCCAAGAACCTAATCTAGTAGACTGCAGTCGCTGATCAGGGCTTCAAACGGAATGCGCCTCACAAGTTGTTTTAGGTGCCCCTGGAGAGAACTGAAGGTCAGCAACGTGGGAAAAGGAGGGGGCACTCTCTAGTTCCAACCATGTTTCCCAGGAGGAAGTGGCTTCGTTTCTCAACTGCTGAATGAGCAGTCTAGGAGGACAAGGTATACTAGGTCCTGGCAGGTGGAGGCAAGGAGAGGTCTTGGGAACAACCCAAATACAGGCTAGTGAGTGGACTCAACAGATCACAGGGAATGCAACAAGGACAGAATTAGGAGAAATGTCTCCAGTATGTTGGCAGCTCAACAAATTCTTCTCCATGAGAAGCTTGATGCTGGAAGATGGCAGAAGAGGGATGGTTGGGCTCACTTTTGGCCCAATTGTAAGACTTTCTAGGTACAGAGGAAGGAGATGAAACAATGAAACAAGAAAAAGAGGAGAAGACACGCAAAGGAAGGAAAGAGGGGCAAGAATATGCAATGAGGGGGGCCAGGCAGGAGGAAGAAGGGTAATCAGAAGTAAAGCAGAGGCTGGGCGTGGTGGAAAACACCTGTAATCCTAGCACTTTGGAAGGCGGAGACAGGGGGATCACTTGAGCCCAGGAATTTGAGACCGACTTGAGCAACATAGTGAGACCTTGTCTCTTAAAAAAAAAAAAAAAAAAAGCTGGGCTTGGTGGTGCATACTAGGCTCATTCTAAGAGTGGTTTATGTTTGGACACTATGTCATTTGAGATGTTTAGACTGCAGAAGAGAAGGCTGGGCTAGTTAATAGTTAACACTCATCATTTATCCAAACAAATAAGTCCTTGAAATGATTTCAGAAAATGATAACTGCTATGAAGAAAAACGAATAGGGCACTGTGAGGTAGAGAATGACTAAGGAAAGGGACACTTCTGAATGGGTGATCTTAGAACTGAGATTTACACGATGAGAAAGAAGCAACCACATTAAGAGGTGGTGGTGAGGTGCGAGGGGGGTGAGTGTTTTAGAATGGCACTCTCTCCAGGCATGCCTGGCTCATCTGAAGCACAGAAAAAGGTAGGGGTGGCTAGTACAGAGTGGACAATGAGGGGAAAGGAGGGGAAGATGGCAGAGAAGTCACCAAGAGCAAGATCACATAGGGCTTTGAGGTTTTAAGCAAGAGATTTGCTCTTTGAAGTAACTTTCTCTGTTTTGTGTGGGGTATGAGTTAAAGAAAGAGGCAGACCCATTAGGAAGATGTGGCCATAGACCAGGCGAGAGATTATGGTGGTATTGTAGGCAAAAAAATTGTCCTGGAAAAAATATCCATGGTCTAATCCCTAGAACCTGTGAAGACTGTTTTCTATGCAAACACTTTGCAAATATAGTTGTTTTAGGATATTGAGATGGAGAAATTATTTAGATTATATGGGTGGACTCTGAATACACTCACAAGCATCCTTGTAAGAGAGAAACACAGGGAGATTTGACACAGAAGAGAAGAAGGCAATGTGACCAGAGACAGATATTGGAGTGATATGGTTACAAGTCAGGGAATGCTGGCCACCACTAAAAGCTAGAAGAGTCAAGGATGGGATTCTTCCCAGAACCCTGATAGGTCTGTAGCCTTGCCAACACCTTGATACTGAACTTCTGGCTTCCAGAACTGTGAGATGATAAATTTCTGCTATTTTAAGCCACCAAATTTGTGGTGATTTATCACAACAAGCACAGAAAATTAATACAGGTGGCTTGAAGTAGGGTTTTAGCAGTTGAGAAGGTCAGAAGTGACTGGACTCGAGATATGTTTTTGGAGGTAAGATCAACAAGACGTGCTGATGCTTATGGTTTGATGTCACAAAAGGGAAATAATCAAGGCTGATTTCCAGGTTTTTGGTCTGAGCAAGTGGATAGATGATGGCATTGTTTGCTGAGATGGGAGGGGGGACAGGCATTCTTAAGTGTTATGTGTTTGCCATGGTCATGTGGGAGAAAATTATCAGCTAGCAAGTGACAGTGCTCTCTACATGCTAGGCACTGTCCTAAGTTCTTTACATGTATTAAGTGTATTAGCTCAGATGACTGTGGAAAGTCAAGTGGGCAGTTAGATATATGTCTGGAGTTGAAAGATGGCTTGGCTGGAAATATAAATCTGGGAGCCATCAGTGTAGTCAAAGCCACGGAACCCAATTGGATCACCCAGGAAGAAAACATGTCCAGAAGAGAGAAGACTTGGGCCAAGGCCTGTGCCAGGGTCCACTTCATTTTTTGTGAATAGAAGAGGAGGATACAAAAAAAGAAAGGAGGGGATAATGAGGGAGGAAGGCCAGGAGCACGTGAAGTCACAGAAGGAAAACTGGGGCAGGTGGGAGGTGGGGAAGTGCGGAAAAAGCCACAAGGATGGGAAGAAGAGATCTACACGGTCATACCTGTATAGCAGAGGCAGACATAACTGACTGCTGCACTTAGCAACGTGGCCTTCCCAAGCCACCTTAAGAAGCTCCTCTACTGGGTCTGGCGAAGATGAAAGCTCCATCAGAGCCACTTGAGGAGAATAGAATGGAAAATGAGCTCATGCCTGTAATCCTAGCACTTTGGAAGGCTGGGGCAGGAGGATCGCTTGATGTCAAGAGTTCGATGCCAACAAGACCTTACCTCTACTAAACAAAACAAAAACATATATATAATGGGAAGTGAGAAAGAGTCCGCAGAGAATCAAGGCCGAATTTTGGAGGAATTCTGATAGCAGAGGTTAAGGGCTGCCTCTGGTGGGGCTTTGTGATGCGGCAAGGGCTCTCACTGGCCTTTAAAGCGGCAGAACTTGCCGCACGTGTTTGCTTACTGGGGCAATTGCAGGGTAAATCCAAGGCCAGGGCAAAAACAGAGACAACGCACCGGACAGGCGCACATGGTGATGGCATGGCCCTACCCATCCCGCTGTCCCCAACCCGCTGATCCTTACGCGCAGGCACTGATCACAGAAGCCATGAGCAACTGGCGTCGCGAGTCACGCTCCCGGCAGGCGCTGCGCGGGCCTGCCAGTGCGCATGCGCACGCCGCAGGTTCCTGACGCTCCCCTCCCCCGCCTCGGCCTCAGTTCCGGGCTGGAGCTACCAACGCTGAGGGGACGGTTTCTTCTTAAAAGAGAAACGGCGGCGGCGCGCG